CTATCAAAATAAGATACCAACTTTAAACCAAGACGACCTACCAGGACTCAAGCCGGCTTGCACGAGCTTATCTTCGGCAAGGTAGTCCTTACAGTGGAGGCCGAGCTCCGCCCAAGATTGGAGCGTCTCCCTTGTCTTCAGGTCCAGCCTAACACCGGAATCCTGAATGCCAGCCCTCCAATGGGTAGGAAAAGGCCACCCTGCAGGATTACGAACTACAAAATAACTTCGCTTCTAGGTCGGGATCCTATTGGGTAGTTCGTGCAAAATCTTATAGCCCGGGCGAGGAGATAGATAGTCGGTCCGCCTATGCTCGGGAAGGACACAAGAAGAGTTCTTCTTGATTGACAAGATAGAAGAAAAAATTTTGAGGTCGAGAGGTAGACAGTACTCGTAAAAAAGGGAGATGGTCCCTACTACATTCCGGATGGAGTTCGAGTGTAATTGGTCTATGGTGATGTTGAAGAACTTCAGGACCTCTATGATCAGGGAGTGCAAAGGTAAGCGAAGACCAACCACGAGCTGCTCTTCAAAAATTATGATCTCATTATGATCGTGTTCCCAAGGGAAGCTACTTACGGGGAGACTATAGGTGTACTCATCCGGGAGGTGGTATTGACCTATTAAAGCCCTAAGTCTATCCACAGTCAGCGTCGAGGGACCGAACCTGTCTGGCGCCTGACCTCGATGAGAAGTGGACGTCGGGTTATCCGTGGTCCCTCGCGCTTCCCAGGATGACTCCATCTTGGGAGGACCAACCTGATCCGAGGTACCTTCCCCGGGCTCATCTAAAAGACTGTCGAAACTAAAGTTGGACATAACTACGAACTGAGATAAATTGAAAAAGAAAGGCTAGGAGAGACTCACCCAGAAAAACAACCGAACTGGGAAAATGGCGAACTGGGAAACCCGAGCTAAGGAGTCTAAGCGTGATCTCTAAGCGAAGGCTAGTGAACTTATGGCGAGGAAAAATGTCTCGGGTCCCCCCTATTTATAGCCGCTATGTCCGAGAGTCAACGGTCAAGATCAAGACGATCCAACGGCTCTCAAGAAAACCGGCTACACGACCCCCGAGGTTGAAATCAGTTTAGCGCATTTTTTGGCGTCCGCAGAATTTATAGATCATGTGACATTCGCGCGTAAATCGTACACAACTCGGGTTACCTTGATTGAGTCAAGCAGCGAACTGGTCCAACCAACGAACTATCCGACTAGACGGCATAGACTTCAAGCCAAATCCACCCATCATGTCGTGAACTCCCCAAACCAAGTCAGGACCCTTGGCTCGGGGAGTGGGGGGCAATTGATGGAGGGTGATTTGGCCCAACCTAGTAATAAGGGGACACGTGAACGTGACTCGACATAGGTGACAACTCGGCATAGCCAGCTCGCTACAAAGTAATACTCCACTACCCCGAACTAAAATTCTTCGAGCTGAGGTCACCCCGAGCTAAGGGCACCCCGGTACCAAGTCGCGGCACCAGTACCTAATTCAGTTCGAGGTGTATGAGCCTTAGCTTGGGAACATCAGTTCGAGGGGAAACCAGCTCGAGCGTGCCGACCTGCCCTCGATGTAATCCCGAAAGTCACTCCAACGGTTCCCGAATTCCGCGGGATCACACCTCGTAACAACTAAGCATTATCTCCCCATCCGATCTGGGCGGAAGTGATTAGCCTTATCCATTGATAATGTTATCTCCAGATAACATGGAAATAGATTCTATCATGGCAAAGATCACGGAACTACTCCGTAAAGCCCGCGAGGACTCCATTATATAAAGGCCTCCCTCCCGGGGCCCAAGGTATGCACAATCACTGCTTAGTAGCTCTCTTGCTCTCTAATTACTCTCAGCTCGCATATACTGACTTAAGCATCGGAGCGACCTCGCCGGATAAACACCCCCGGGTTCTCTGATTCTTTCTGTGCAGATTCTCCACGTCCGTTGTCCACTGGAAGCCAAGTCACCTCCAGCTAGGAGCAGTCAGATTGCGACGCATCACAATGTTTTGCACTCTATAAACTTGTATTTGTACTCTTTCCAAACTAAACTTTAGGGTAAATTGTTGAAACCTCCTTGAAGTTTGGTAATTGCAATCACCTCCTTGAACTTTGTGACATAGTTGCAAGTAGTGGCCCTTTATTAGAATCCTTTAAAAGGAGGCACGAAAATGTCCAAAATACCCATACATTTATTTTTGACCAAAATGTTTATTTTCAAAATTTTTCTTCATATAAATGGCTAGCCCAAACCCTTCCAATCTCTTTTCTGAAATTGATTTAGTTTTCAAATTTGCCCTTCACATCAATTGTTCAAAGGTAAAATTACTACCTTAAATTCTATACTTTTTATTTGTTTAGAAAATTTGTATTATTTTTCTATAGAAACCAACCTCAATAGTAATTGCATAGATATTTTAGACATTTTTGTGCCTCTTATTAGATGATTTTAATAGAAAATATCTATTTGCCACCGAAAATTAAAATATCGATACAATACACTCCATACAATGATACAAGATACACTACAATTGGAATCATATGCTTCCAATCATGCGGTGCAACTGATATGATCTGATACGAGGCATATCGAGGGCTCATACAAGAATCGCAAGATTTAGACAATCGATACTCACAATAAAAAGGAGAGGCTGATGTAATTTGAACCTGAGCCACTAGCACTCCAAAACTTAGATGCACTCATGCACCCTTAACTACTAAACCACCATTCACTTTATAATAATAAATGAAACATATTAACTTTTAATCACATTAATGTCAACAATCAATTCAAATAAGTGGAATATATTATACTCAACAACTCCTAAGTACAAATTAAAAAGAATAATACTCAATTTTTTTATTATTTTATATAGGGGTGTAAACGGATCGAATTCGAATCGGATCAGACAACATCCGAATTCGAATTCGATTAGAAAATCCGATATTCGAATTCGATTCGATATCTGACGGATATTGAAAACTAATATCCGAATTCAAATCCGATTAAATATTCGAATATCCGATTCGATTCGAATTCGATTAATTAATTATTTTAGATAATTAATAAATATATAAAATAAATATTTTATTGATATAAAGTATATAAATATATAAATTATTTATATAACTTAATTATTATATATATTATATAAAATATTTTATATATTATATATAAGAATTAAATAATCGGTCGAATTTGAATATTTATCGAATCGAATCAGGTCATATCTGAATTTGAATCCGATTAACTATTCTATAAGAATAGGATATCCGAATTCGACCGATTAGATATTCGAATTATCCGAATTCGATCGAATTTGAAATCGGATTTTCGAATACCGTTGACACCCCTAATTTTATAAACTAATAGAACAAATAATCCATTGAATATATATTAACAAATGATTTTTAATCTCAAAAAAATTATGGAAATAAAATATTCATAATTGAATAATTACTTTAGTACTTAAAATTTATAAATTTGTACATGATATGTATCTTAGTAGTTTTATAATTTATTATTTAGTATTTTAATTTATATTAAATAACAATGTATTTATTATTTACAAAAATAAAAATATTATTTATAAAATATTTAACAATATAATATAAATGGGAACTTCCAAATCCACTAATCTAAATTTATATAAAAAATCCAATCTTATATTTTAGGAAATTTAAAGAAATAAAAATATTAATAATGAATAATTATTTTAGAAATTAAAAATTATGAATTTACAAATGATATGTATCTTTGAAGTTTTAATAGATTTGATATATATTATGATTATATATTTTTTTTAAATTATTAACTGATATTTTAATTTACATTTTATGATACATATTTATTGTTTACAAAACTAAAAATATTATTTACCAAAGATTTGAGAATTAATTTTTTAGTTATCCTTTTTGTTAACGTTAAAAATTAAAAAAAAAAAGTAAAATATAAAATAATTGATATAATTATTCAAATATAATAGTTACATGTGTTTTTTATATTGGACTTTAATAGAAAATAAAATAATAATGGCTTTGTGCATGTATTAATTTGTAAAAATCTATATAATGTGTCTTGCACGCTTGCAAGGTCCAAAGTATCAATATGTATCGACCCGTATTGGTCGATATGTATCATGCCGGTGGCTTCCCAATACACCCCTACAGGGGTTGTATCGGGTCAAATCATGGTTCAGTGAGTAGCCAGGACTTAAACCAACTCCTCTGAACTGGTTTTGAAAAAAAAATAAAACATAAAAAAAAACACCAATACAGGCTAGGGTACTGTGTCGATACTTTGAACCTTGCACTCTTGATTAATGTATTATCAATAAAGTTATATGATATCTATGCATGTATTTCTTCCACATACCATTAAAACATACATTTTTTATGTATTTGTATATTATATATAGTTATTTTGACATCAAATTTAATGTTATTAATGTACTTATGGAATTTGTATATGTTTTCCTTAGCATATTCAAACATTTCCATAATTTTTGTCCATATTCGTGTATTTCCAAAACATATTTGTATCCAACTGTCTGAACAATACCTGATAGGCTGATACCGATACTTTAACCCTTGCTTTCAACTATGTCATAAAGTTCAAGGGAGGTGATTGAAATTACCAAGCTTCAGGGGAGGTTTCAGCAACAACCAGAAACTTCAGGAGAGGTTTCAGCAATTTACCCTTGTTTTTATACTCTTTCCAAACGCAGCCTAGGCAAAATTAATCCCATGGCCAATCGATGGATGTTGAATTGTTGACAACCAATTGCTCAAAGTCTGACTTTTTATGCGAATATCAAACCAGCTACTTCTGATACTTGAAAAAATTAAAAAGAAAAAAGACGAGAAAAAAAAAAAAAAAACAAAGTCTATGACATTGATTTGTAATGTTCTTTCAGTTGCCACTAGTTGCTGCTTGGAAACTTTTTTTCATTCTGAATTACTATATTTATGTCAGACTGCTCCAAGTGCAAAAGGAACAAGAGGACCAAAAATTCAACCTTTTCACCTATCAATAACTTCAATGTGATATGTACTTGTCACGATTACACATTCAACAGCTAAGAATGCCCGACATTGACAAGAAGTTATGCTCATTTCTTGAAGCGACTCCTATAGTATCGCTGATCTAATCGTTAAAATATCAAACTGTATAAAAAAGGGCAAAAGAGAAGAACAGAAAATGGACAAACCAGAAATGATAAATCAACCCATGGAGTTGTAATCAACCCACTTCTTTCAGTCGATCAATGAGCATTGCTTTTGGCAGCTTTGTATAACCCTTCAATCCTCGTCCTTTCGCACGCTCCCTCAACTGGCCCAACTTCAAGATACTCAAGTCATCAATTCTAGGAAACGACAATGGCCCAGCAATCTCATTTATAGGTTTATCAATATCACAAGATTTGGACGGTGGTTGTTCATTCGTCAAACTCTCAGTTGTATCTGCTTCTGACTTCAAAAGCTCAGAAGTGATACTTGGTTCTTTTTCATCTACCGTGGACGGAAAAAGTGTACTCTTACCACTCTGAACCTGTGATTTTGACAGTGAATTTAAGCTGAGCTCACTGCTGCTGTTGGCTACAGAATTGAGCTCTTGGCCCACACTGGGATTTGGCTGATTTGACCCCTTTGTTCTAGCCTGACTAGGATAGTTCGACTTCGATAACAGATTTATGTTATTGCTGCTATCATCCAAGCAATTTAGTTCTTGGACCACAAAAGGTGTTAGAAGGCTCTCTCCCGTTGCTCTTTTTGTACTAGAACCAGGCTTTGATATAGGATTTGAGCTGATATTGCTGCTGCTAGCCACAACATCAATCTCTTGGACCATACAGGGAATTACCTGGTCCGTTCTCTTTGCTCTCTTCCTATTAGGACATCTGGACTTCGACAGCAGATTTAAGCTGATACTGCTGCTGTTACCAACAAAAGTTAGTTCTTTGACCATCCAAGGTATCAGTTTATCTGTTTTCTTTGCTCTCTTCTGACTACAAGAACTTGAAGTATCACTTTTCTTGGTACGAGGAATACCAGGTTGTTTTCGTTTCCCTTTAGAGGTCAATGATGGAACTGATGGCAGAGCAACACCAGACTCTTGGGCATTTACTTGGCTGGATTGTGATTTACTTTTCTTTCTCTGTCCTTGCAACTTGACAGATGATTTTACATTATCAGGGTTGTCGGTAATAACTACGACTGGTGCTTGGACCTCCTCAGGCTCCAATTTGGCTGTATCTTTAGCCCATTGATCCTGCAACTTTACAAGTGAACCTGAACCGGAACTTTTTGTGCTGGCACAACCAACTTCTTCAACCTTCTCTGTCTCTGAATGATTCAATGTAACCACATCTGACTTCGTAGGCAAATTATAAGTAGCTTTTTGGACCTTCACCGTTTCTGGATGATTCATTGTTACCATATCTGATTTCATAGGCAATTTTAAATCAATTTTCCTGTCTCTACAAGTAATGTCAAGCTCATTGCCTTTATCCATCGTGATAGTTGTAGAAACTAAATTGAATAATCTTTTCCCATCATTTGGTGGGCCACTTTTCTGTACCAAAGCATCAGATCTGCAATCTTTGACCACAACATCTTCAGTCTGTTTATACACGAGAAGTAAATATTTCAGTTAATTTAGGCTTACTAAGCTTATTGCAATATCTCAACTGCAACAAGAACATAATAATTATGATATCATTGTATGGAATAATGGAAAGAAATAAACCATTTCAGTTGATTGAGATCACTCTGGTTACAGTTTGCACCACCCTGAATTTTATCTTGAATAAGTCAAGCTACAGGAACTCCCAAAGTGCAAAACATCAAATCTAGAGCATGGTTCAAAAACTCCCAAAGTTCCTATGACAAAATAATGAGATATTGTTGAGATTTTTGTGCCTCAAATTCCAAGTCAAGCTACAGGAACTTTGGGAGATTTCTATATGGAAAATAATACCACTATTGTTTAGGGTTTCCTGAAGAATCATCTTTTGGTGCTAGAAGAGTGTCTATTGGGAAGAATGTCGCTTTTGGTAGAAAGTATCGTTATTGATAAGATAGTTTCTCTTTGGATTTGGAATATTGTTGTAACCACCATTTTTGGTATAGTGGATGAAAACATCTTGCCAGCCATCAAAACCCACAATTGCATTTCCTCACAACTGATACAAACAAACATTAATGATACAACTAATTAATGACTACCAATAGTATCTGAGTTTTAATTTCACAATTTGAATTCTCATGTATAGACTTTTCATTCTTTTCAAGTACAGGCAAACACAAAAGGCCAGCATATGAGAAGAACCCCTGCCCCAGGAATTTTCAGGACTGACATGTTCCACACAAAACAAGCAAGTCTGGTGAGGATACACAAGATTAGCTACTAGAGAGTTAAAAAATCATTTGTAAATATAAACCATCTTGACATATTAAATGCATGCATTTATGTACATTGAGGGGAAGGAAAAAATTAACAATGTTCTGGCTCTCATACATACTGGCACAGAGCTAAGATCCAATGCATAGTTGTCAAGGCAACACCTAGGCGGGTGCCTAGGCAACAAGACACCATTGGAGGATCGCCTCGCCTAATCGCCAAACAGTTTTCTATAGCACGTTATAAAAAAACTTTTATATTCTTAATTTTTTGAGGTTATAATTATAAAATATACATTTTTAAACTAAAATATTCATTTTGTGTGTTTATACACTAATTTCTTTTTATTGTTTTCTTAATTGTTAGGGTTTAATCAACAAACATTGCTAAATGCTGTATTGAACCCTCAAAGACTTCAAAACCTGAACCAATAAGTAAGGAAGAACATAAAATGTTGTCCAATCAACACATCTTCTTTTTCATTACTAATTTCTTCTTCTTCTTCTTCCACCTTTTCTTTTCTTCTTTTCCCATAACAGAAATAGGGATTCAGCCCCTATATTTTTTTAATTTTCTTTTCTTTCTTCTTTTTCTTCTTTTTCTTCTCATGAATATGTTGGAATATATTGATTTTCTATACTTTAAACATGAAATGTATACTTTTCTTATGAAAAGTATGGAAATTTATTCAAGGAAATATCATTATGGAACCTAGGGAACTACCCTAGGATACATATTTTTACTTAATCCATCACCTAGGCGACTAGGCGACAAGGCACCCCCCTCCCTCCACTGCAAACATCATAAATTTACCCATTAGTTACATCTTCAAGAAACTACATGGATTGATATGATTTCCTTCACACTATTTTCTAACCAAACCAATGAAATTGTGTCAATACCAACTGAGATAAGCTGAAGAAATAGCCCTTCCATGCTAAACAAAGAAAATAACCTTCTTAAAGATTGCTTTTAGAATTATCTATGTTTCCTTTTGGTAATTATTTTAGGCAAGTACCCTGCTTTAGTGTACAAGTTTTGTTGCCATTCTCTATTTAATTCAAGATGTACATGGCTTTGGGGCACAAAGAGGATCAGTGCTTTTCTCTGAAGTGGGTCAATGTATTTTATATTTATCTTTATGATCAGTAGTGTCTATGATCTGGTACTAAAGCTAATCTGCCTGTCAATTTCCTGCAAAATGGTAAGATAATTCAACTATGCAAATTTGGAGTCTCTAGGCATCAAACATGATAAAACAGAGTGGGTGAAACATTGGGGAACAAATTTTAGTCTTCTTCTTTTATGGTCTTTATTCCTTCCCTTGTTATACAAGACATATAAAGTTATAACAATATGAGTTGATCACTTAACCTAATATTCCATCTAAGGGCTACACATACATCATCTGTTTTAGTGTTTTGATGCATTCAATTTGTATAGTCAAATCAGTGAACCCAATGTTTTAAAAATGAGAACACAAGAAAGGTGCAAGGGCCTTCTAGCACTTGAGATGCAAGGCAGAAGGTGGGACCCTCGCCTAGATGAAGCAAAAAGTTCGAATTTTTGAAAAAATAAAATTAAATAGATAAAAACATTAATACATAAAAAAAAGATGAAGAGATAAATTTTAAAAGAAATTAAATGTCATAAAAGCTTTTAGCTCAAATCAAAATATATGTGCATTACATATAAAACAAATTCAGAGTGCAAGTAAAAGCAAACAAATATAGATTGTACCATAGTGATTCAAGCACTCAATAATTAAAGCATGTAAAACTTCCATCATGTTTTTCTATCTCTCCTAGTTGCATTACTTCAAGTAGCTAGATGTTAAACGTTGAGGTTTAATCGAATAATTTGGGCTTGAGTTCGATTAGGTTCGATTCAAGTTTGGTTCTAATTGAGTTCAAACCTTCAGGTAAGTTTGATTAGTTATTCAAACTCGTGTTCAACCATAAAAAGTTAAAGCTAGCGAGCTTGGCTCAATTAGTATGTATATATGATGTTATAAAAATATATATAATACAAAAATATATTAGGGTCCGTTTGGTTCACAGTCAGAATCAGAACCGGTATCGGTATCAAAATCTTTTGGAATCGGAATTGGAATGAACTATTCCTTTTACCTGTTTGGTTCAGACTGGAATCAGAATTGGCTGGAATGGATTCTCATTCCCAAGGGAGGAGGAGGGAATAACCATTCCCTCATATGAGGAAATTCCATTCCACCAGGAATGGGAATGGGAGTCCAATTCCGCCCAACCAAACAGTTAGAATCCGATTCCGATTCCAGACCCCTATTCCCACAAAACAAATGGACCCTTAGTTTTGGAGTTTTCAAGCTAAACCTGAATTCATTGAATATTTAATCAAATCAAACTTAAACTTGAACATAGTAGTATTTTAGTTGAACTAAGTGAAGACATGCCAAAGTTCAGCTCCGCTCCGCTCAGTTACACCTTAATCCTAAGAGGTTGGGGCCTTCACACTGATATCTCTCAAGAGCCCCTAAGGTAAGTCTAAACAAAGCCCATGTGGGGTGTTCAAAGGCAGTGCCACCGGCCCAAATTCTTGGCCCAAATAGATAGGAGGTTAGTTTTATAATTTTGGATGCAATTCATTTTATTTTAGAATTAGGAATCTCAGAGATCAGTTCTATTTGTTGTTGTTTCTCTATTGAAAATTTTGCATTTGAGATCCTATCCACAACAACTAGGGTGTCAAGTACTAAAAGTCCTTTCTTTTTGTTTCTTTTAAAAATGAATAGACCTTCTACTAGGGCACAAGGTCCAATAAAAAGGTAACTTAAAAGTTAATACATCACAAAGGTGTAAAGCAAATAAGAATGTATAAAAAAAGAAGCAAGAAAAGCAAACCTAAAAAAAGGCACATGTTTGGGTTGAGATGCAAGGTGCATAAAAAGTGTGTAAGTGCACCTTTTGAAAGTGACTGCACCTAGGTTGAAATGAGACATATACCTTAAAATGCACTTTGTTTTGCGCCCAGGTGTTTAAAACACTGGGTAAATTTGTCACTTGGATAGAAAACCGTGTTGACCTCCATGTCAATTTTCATTGATTGAGAGTGTTCTAAAACAATGCAAAAAGGCTCTATTACGCTTGCACCCCAAATTATAAGAACTGCAACAACGTTCCAACTTTAACTTTAAAATCCTAGACTCCCTAATAAGACCAAATTGGATTTTCAATGTGCTTTCTTTGTAAAGTAATCTGTGAAACCACAAAGCACTTTCTAATCTTCTAATAGCATATAAGAGTATTTGTTCTCTTTGTTTTGTTGTAAGTGGAATTCTCCTAGGACCATTTTAGTGTCTACTCTCCACCAAAAAAGAGGCAAAACCACAAAATTATATGGAGATTCACAAAGGTGGAAGTATGTAGGTGTATTTAGAAAGAGAGGAATGCTAGGATTCTTAAGAGAAGAGCAATAGAAAAAGAAGGCATTGAGTGAAGTCCATGAAAGCTGTCTCCCTTTCTCCATGATGATAATCATTAGAAATTGGTTAGTAATGGTTGTGTCTTCCTTGGTAAGGACTCCTGCCAATCATCCTTGCACTCCCCAAACTCAAATTTCATAAAGCTAAATTTTGATGGGTACAGTCTGGATAACCAGGGAAGATCCAGAATAAGGGAGTTTTTAACAGCAAATGAATTATCATGTGGTTTTGCATACAAGATTTACAAGTCATGGGGACTAACAAAGAGTAGAGTTAATGGGAATTCTACATGGATTAAGGCTTGTTCAATCCCTTGGCTATAAAAACTTAAGAGATCAAAGGGGACTCCCCCACAGCTATGGGCTACGGGTTTGTGAAAATACATATACACAGGGAAATTAAAAGATTGACAGCATACACGAGTGGACACATTGCCTACTTGATTGAGTAATTTTCAGGTCCCCACGGGTTAAGCTGTCATTTCTTTCCTATCTCCAAAGCCAGAGAGCCTTTAAGTTTGTGGTTTAGAACTGCAGCAAGTTGTTGAACCATGCTCTAGATCTGTGCTCTAAGCAAAACATTGTGGTGGTCTACCTGCATGTGCAAATGAACAATGAAGATGCGATCAATTTCTATAACAAATTTGGGGATTGTTTGCAAGCATAACGAGATGGAAAGGAGTGACAAAGGGAACTTCAACCGACAACAAAATGGCGGAAGGAGATCACAATAGAGAATAAAAAATTCCTGTTCGAGGAAGCTGGTGGAGGTTCAGCGCTGAAGATTAGAGAAGACAAAATGCCGATGGTTATTTTGATTAAAGAAACTATCAACTGGTTCAAAGGGTTCATGGGATGGCACAATTCTGGCTATAGTGCATAACTATGAAAAAATCTTCGTCTTCTTGTAACATAACTATGAAAAAATTCTTGAATTGTTATCCCCCATCTTCAGCCATTTTACTCTAGGTCTTTGCCTCTAGTATACTTCTTCCCTCCTAACTACCTTTTCCCAGTCTTTCCTTAAAGCCTCCCTTCTTCTCCCTTGACCATCTAAATTCCCGTTTTGTTCCTTGCAATCTAACACATCCAATTCCCGAATTAACTTGCTTTTTACTTCGGAAAAGGCTTTGAATTCATCCTTTCCCTAGATTTTTAACTTCCTCTTTAAGTACTTTAACTTTTGAGGAAAACAAAACCTGGCCCAACCGTCTACCATACACTCCTCCCACCATTAAGGCACATTAGATTTGAAATCTTTATGTAGAGTCCAGACCTAAAGGTGTGCTTCCTTCTTCTTACAACTTCAGTTTTTAACACAACCAGCCAATGATCGGAAGTGCACCTAGGCCTGATTTCTTGGAATAAGTTGGGGAAGTGTTCCACCCAATCTATAGTTATCAGGAATCTATCAAGCCTACAGTTGACCAAATTCTCTTGCATATTTGACCAAGTGAAGTGCCATAGTTTTCAAAGCGCCAAAGCGAGGTTAGGCGATAGGGGGAAGCCTTGTCACCTAGTTGCCTAGGCGATGGAAGTAAAAAAAAAAATAGATCCTAGGGTAGTTCCCCAAGTACCATAACCATATTTCCTTAATAATTATTCATAATTTTCATAAGAAAAGTATATAGTTCATGTTAAAGTATAGAAAATCAACATATTCATGAGAAGAAAAAGAAAAAAGAAAAGAAAACTCAAAAAATATAGGGGCTGAACCCTTATTTTTGTTATAGGAAAAGAGGAAAAGAAGTAGTAGAAGAAGAAATGGAAGAAGAAAATGTGTTGATT